TGGGGATGCTGGGAAAGGTAGTGTGGCTATGCAACCATTACGAAAGGAAATAGCAGTTTCTGCCACTGCAACTTATTTAGATTTTGTAAAACACTGTTCAGGTCAAAGAAACCGTGTCTGTGGACCAAAGTTAGCAAAGTCGGCCACCAGTTGGGAATTTCTTGCCCACACATTATTCCCTAAAATTGAGAAAAATTGCTAGCAAGTCACCCAACAAGTTCTTAACTTACACAGAAGCAAGTGTGGCACATTTTATCCAGTTGTATGATAAAATAAACATATGGAAATTGGGTCAGTTCTTCATTCACTAATTTTATAATTTCAGGGAGAAAATTCTAATTTCATATCTGATCTTACATAAACAGTGGTTCCCAACACGATAGCTTTCTTTACTTCCTGCATTCTCTGTGAAGTGATTATCTATCTGTAAATAAAAGATCCTTTAAACATAGTCTTACTCCCACTTCACCTTTGCCCACCCTCTCCCTTGCTGTCTACACTCCAGTCATGCTGCTTGTTTCTCAAACTTGCCAGACTTTTTGCCACCACCAACTCTTTGCAGATGCTGTTCCCTAATCCAGGAATGTATTCCCTCTCTTGCCTTTTCTCCTTTCCTCATTCTTGACCTAGCTGGCCCCTGTGTATCAATCAAGTCTTAGTATAAATGCTCTTTCCTCAGAAAGCCTCTCACTCAGTTGCTTTCCTCTGCCCACGGTTATTCTCACTCATTCCATCTGTGATGTTTCAGAGCCATGTTAGTATATTTCACATATGTCTCCTCTGGAGACTGCTCACTTCAGCACCATGCCCACAGCATTTAGCACAGTGGCTGGCACATGGCTGGGGCTCAGAATAGATTTGCTGAATAAATAAATGAATATCAAGAAAAGTCCACTGCTTTAAAGAATTTTGTGAGGATACCTTATATAATTAAAATAACATATCCCAATCTGTTTTAAAAGTTTAGTTAAACTTTACTGGGATTTAAGAAAGAGGAGTATTTATACAATAAATGCTACCTGAAACAATGAAATAAAATAAAAATTCTTTCTTTATCCCAGAAATCCTCGAACTAGTCTCTTCTAAAACTAGCCTAGGTAAAACTCAATGTGATCATTTACGTTGTGAGGGATCAGAATCGGCCAACCCAAAATGTGTCTCTTTGGTTTGATTATTTTTAAGAACAAAAGACTCTAAAAGAAACTTTGACCTCCCCTCTAACTGCCTAAAAGAACTTGAGGTAAAAGGCCTGTTCCCAGGACAGGCCATCACCATAGATAACTCTGGGTATTGGTAGACTGGGAGGGTCCTTGCTAAGCCCATTCTTATCAAAGTTCTATCTACCAAACATTTGCTTTTCCATCTCCACGTGAGTTGCCTTCCTCCCCTTCGAAGCCCTAAACCACTACCTCCAACATCTTCCTTTTTCTTTAGCTGAAGATGATATTTAAGGTGACAGCTTTGGCCATTCTGGCAAGTTGCTCGGTTTTCCTGGGTTTCTCTCATGTATACATGTTATAAAGCTTTGTTTGATTTTCTCCTGTTATTCTGTCTCCTGTCAACTTAATTCTTAGGCCAGCCAGAAGGACCTAGAGAGGGTAAAGGATTTATCTTCCTCCCCTACAGTGTCAACAGGAGTGGAGGGATGAAAGCCCTTTGAAAAAGTGAAAGAGGCGTTGCAATGTGAAGAGTTATTTCCTAAAAGCATAATTGGCCTAAATAATCTACCAAGTTGCTCAGGAAAAAAAAAAAGTAGGAGTTAAACTCGCTTCTTCCCTTTTCTTTACTCTGTGCATTCCAATCCATCTGCCATCATTCTGAGTTGTACTCCCAAATGTAGCCCGTTCTCCCCCCAGAGATCATGGTCTGTACAGAAATAAAGTAAGGGTGTTACATTGAAAGATTGTGCAGTTTCTTAGCAAGAGCGTTTTCTCCTCCATGCCTACACTACATTTTGTCTTACATTGTTCTAAAATGGCCCCGGGGGTATAACACAGAGATTAGGAGTCAGCTAGTCAGACCATTTGATTCCAGGTCCAGCACTTGCCAGCTGTGATGCTGGGCAAGTCACTTAGTCGGGTCTCCACCTTGATTCCTCTTGTGTAACAGAGGGATATTGGTACCTCCCTCACAGGGTGACGATAGCCACAAATGAGTATTGCAACATGTGGACACTTCAAAAAAAGAAAGAAAGAAAAAGAAAAGGAAACCTTACCTTGAATCCACTATGAATTAGTTACATATTTAGGTATCTTAAACTCTCTGGGACTCATCTATTTTTTCTAAAAAATCAGATGAAGGGGTGGTGGATTATAGGACTTCTATTGTGCTTTAGCGATGTTGACATTCTGCAGTTCATGGTAAATGGTAAAAGATGTGGAGTTTCCACTTTTGCCCGAGATTGTGTCACGCCAAGCTGCCAAATGCATAACGAAGCCTTCTATCTAAGAAGCATTGTTACTTGCTTAGTTAGAAATGTGGTTTTTAGTTTTTGATTTTGTTTGGGAGGGATTTGTTGCCAACTGGTGGGATTTGAAAGTGTTTTCCCAGTAGGAGGCAGATCGGAAGTCTGGCCTGCTAAGACTCTTTTGGAAGCTGAAACTAATTAAAATATTTAGTTTAGCTCCCGTAGCTAAGAAGCAGCAGGGGAGAGAGTCCAGCATTCATTTTTATGAAGGTGTAATTATATCTGCTAACCTCTTGTGCATCCCATCCAGCATCTGCCCCAGGGCCACCCCACCAGGTGCTCAAACACCTGCCCAGGGCGTGAGTATTTGGTAGAACAGTACTTAATGCCCAACCTAAGGGCCCCCTGGGTTCCCCATCCCCACTCAAGACAATAGAGCCTTGTTCCACCTTTCATTACCTACATGCTCACCTCTGAGTGAAGTACGCTCCCAGTTTCACCTTCAAAGACATCTGTAGAGCTGTGCAAAAGAGAAAGAGAGAAGAAAGAGAAAAGGTAAAAGATAAAGTAACTGAGCATCAATTTTTTTGTGTGTGGTATCAGAGGTTGAAAAAAATACAAGAATATTGAAGAAGTGTGGTCATAATACAAAACTAATGTAAACGTTCACTGCTTTTGAATGGTGAGAACTAATAATGATTGAACTTTACCTGAAAACAAGTGTATCAGGGGATGAGACTGGAAGAAGACCAGGAACTGTGAACACCCACTGTGTCCACACATGGGCAGAGGCTTCACTTGCACTGCCACATTACTCCTCTCTGCTCTCCACCGGAGGTGTTTTTATGAATATTTTACAAATGAGGAAACTGGGATTCCAAGAAGTTCAGCGACTTGAGAAGCAGTTCTCAGCGGGCTAAGAACAGACTTGGAGGTCACATGGACCTCCAAGTTTGAAGTCTCGGCTCCACTAATGACCAGCTGCGTGAGTTTGGGCAAATTACTTAATCTCACTAAGCCTTCATTTTGTCATCTATAAAAGGGAGGTGATAATAGTTAATGAACTACCTTTCCGGTGAAGATTCAGTGAGTTAACACATGTACCTGCCCGACACACCACCTGTCACAGGAGACAGGCTGAGTCAAGGTTCACCATCATCATCCTCAAAGACCACTTACAGCTGGCAAGTGGCAGAGCCAGGGTACCAACTTGGATGTTTTATTCCACTCATAAAGCCTCTGTACATTCCGTTTTCAAAAACTAAGTTCAGAGAAAATAATCGGAGACAGAAGAGGATGGACAGAGAGAACACAAAAACACCAAAGAAACAGGCCCGTCCTCCTACCTCCAGAACATATCCTATATGGGTACTTTGACTCCCATCCCAGGCTTTAGAGAAAAATCTGTTTGATGAGCTAAGCATTTGTTTTTATCAAGAGACTCTGTAAGCCTTCTAGAATTCCCAGCCTTGATGGTGAGGAGAAATTACAATGTACATATTATATTGTTATAAGCCAACTCTGCATTTTCTTCTCTCCAACACTTTTCTCACACCCCTTCCCCTCTCTCTCCTTCTCCACCTCCTGACATCAGCCTCATTCTTCAAGGGCCAGTTCAGACTGCACCACCTCTCTGTGATTCTGGTCTCCCCTCTCTCTGGATGCTGAAACATTTATTTTTAGTTTTACATTTAATTGATTTTCTGTTCCATATGGACTAATCTCCCTCAAATAGATTGTGTACTTCTTTTGTCTACCCCCACAGGGTTTGATATTAAGTTGACAACCTAGGAGGCTCTAAATAGATATGTGCTTTGTTATAAGTTCTTGTTGAGAAATAGACTGATTATAGCATTCTGAAACACCCACTAGTAGCGAGGAGCTAACTGTGAACTTGGCACAGAACTTTAAGACTTGATCCCCATCCTCAAGATACTTTCATCCCTAAAGAGAACAAAGCTCATGGCATTTTATAACTGGGAGACACTGTGGCAAAGAGGTTAGCAACATGGATTCTAGAGTTATTTAATTTCCCTTGCTTTTATTAACAGTAAAATGGACATAATGGTAGTACCTACTTCACAGGTTATTTGTTGGGTTTAAACAAGATAATGCAAGTCAACCTCAATGCAGAGCCTGGCATATATGAAGAGCTCAAAGTTAGCTATAGGTAGGTTCAGAAATGAGAAAAGCAGTTGTTCAAATGCCAGGGTGGAGCAACAAACGTCTTATACTCAAGAGACATATTCCAGGTACAGCCTGAGTTGCTGTTAAATTATTTTTAAGGTATTTTATACTAAGTACATAGCTCACAGTAGGAACAGACACTTCTGCCCATGCCAAGTTGCTATGCAGCAGGGTGGGGGAGAGAGAGAAAGAGCTGAAGAAGTGGAAAGGAGCTCGCTTCTGGGCCTGGGACGTCCCAGATGGGAGGTGACTCTGGCAGTAAGGCCATTCATCGTCCTCTCCTACCTAAAGTACAGGGATGGGTAAATTGGAGATGCATGAAGTGATGGAGTTCCAGGTGGTGAACCTGGAGTTGTGTTGCTGAGTATTCCATCATGAGGGGAGCAGCGGGCTGAGGACGCTGAGCTGCAGTGGAACTGTTTTATTTTTTTCCACCAGAGGCCCCATGTCAACACAGGCAACATTTCCCTTTTCTAAGGCTGCTTTGAGGAAAACAAGCAGGGACATTTGATATTACTGAGCTGGAATCATCCGGCCTCAGAGGCATCTTGTGGAACAGCAGGCTGGCTCCGGGAGCAGTTGTGTCCAATGTTGACACAGAGGACGGGAGGAATCGGGTCTTTGGGAAACGACTTTGGTCCACCTTAGTGTGCTCTACTAAGGCGGTTCTAGGGTTCTTTGAATACATAGGTATTGACTTGGTTTCTGGGGTTGCTAGTCCTGTTGGAAGCACTTACAAGCTCCCTCAGCAATTGCATTTAGCGTAAGGGTGCCACAAATAGCTAAAGTGGGGTTCTGGTTCAAAGACTCCTGTTCCAAATTTAACCTGTGTTTTGGTGAACTTGGGGCATGGGGTGGACACCTGCCAAGAGGGTCTCAGGTTGATCCTATTAATATGCATCCCTGTAGCTGAGGAAGTTACAGTGCGAAGTTGCACTTGGTTGAACTATGGTTTTGAATGTGATCCTCCTCGCCTGAATGAAGATAAAAGAGAACCGCCTGCGATTACAGATTCAACAGAAGCTGTGTTGAAATACGTAGAGGAAGCTTTGCAGGCTTAACAGCGACGAGCTGAAACTCTTTTAAGAAGGCAATAAGGTAGATGTCCTAATCACAACTGTACAGAGAGCATTTCCTGCTTGCTTCCTCTGTGTACTGTGCTCCAGACCATAGCTGCATTATCTCAGAGATCTCGCCATCATCCTGTGAGGCAGGTACTATGATCTTCCTTGTAGGTTGAGGGGCCCGAGGCACGGAGAGGTCAGGCGCCTGCCTAGAGTAACAGAACCAGAAAGTGCAGAGGCAGAACTTGAGCACAGACTGGCCTGTTTACAAAGTCTCCGCTCTTTCCACCAAGCTGCCACTGTCAGTCACAAATCCAGGCCTCACTGACACCAACACACATTGAGCGCCTCTTGGGTGTAGGGTAGCATGCAAAATCTCCAGGGGGGACAGAAAGAAGTGTAAACCCAACTGGGCCTGCAAAATAGTTCTGAAAAAACAAGGAACTATTTGTGTGGTTACTAATTGGATAAGAATAAGAGCCGTCTTCAAAGGAAATAGTAATCCTTCCTCGGGTGGAGACCACATCTGCTCCCCATCCAGTGCTCTGCTCAAAATCCTATACCTGGTAGGCACTGGGCAAACATCTCCTGATGCTGAAGGGAGGGCAGGGTGTCAGAGAACCAATCCGGTCTTGAGGCTGAAGGTCCTGAGTTACGGTCCCAGGCCCACCCCAAACTAGCTCAGTGCGCTGGGCAAGTTACCTCGCCTCTTTGGGACTCAATTTCCCAGTTTACAGAAAAGGAATAATAACAATGAAAATGTAATCTATGCCCTGGCCTACTTCACAAGGTTCAGAGGAAATCAAATGAAGTAATTATATAAACATACTGTAAAACACTGTAAGAAATTTCTTTATTGAGGTTTGTTCCTTGGAAGTGCTGCAGGAAATCAGGGACGGGATATCACTGAGGGCTGAGTGCTTGGCCATAACCTCATAGATGAAGAGGACAAAGGAAGCTGTAGAGTCTTCTGGATCCTAGAAGCCTTAAACCTGGTCAGTTCTCATTTTTTGGTGGATCATAATCGGGTTTAAAGCCAGGGGGGTGAAGGATGGGATCCAGAATTCAGTCCAGCTCTGGATTCAGTGAAAGTAGCTTTGCCACCTCTCCTCCCTGTGACCTTTGCTGGCTTCCTCCTCAGCTTGGCTCTCCACACCCAATGAGCGACATTTCCTGGGGGCAGGGTAGTATAGTGGTCAAGACCCAGGATCTGGCTTGGAGTTCTTCTTATTACAACAAATTTCTTCACCTTTCCAAACCTATTTCCTCAGCAGAAAGGAAAAAAAAGAAAAAGAAAGATGATAACAGTACCAACCTTATAAGGTTATCGTAAATATTTAAATAAGGTAATTCCTGTAAGGTGCTTGGCCCAGGTCCTGGGAAATAAATGTAGGCTATTGTTAATATTATCATTACATCCATAATTATAACTACTCTGTAGTTCTTGGTCTTCTTCTACCAGCCTCATCCCCTGATACACTTGTTTTCACTTAAAATTCAATGTCCTACAAAGAGATTTTAAGGCCTTGGGAAAGGTTAGTGAAATCAGTGAACCAAAAGTCGCTTAAAAGTTATAAGTCAAGAAGGCAGAAGCATCGCCTTCCCTGAATGTTTCCCAATTTAAATTGAAAAACATAAATTAAGGCAGAGATAATCTGCCTCACAAGATTGTGAATAAGTGCTATCAAAGGAATTTTATGTTCTATAGCCCCTCCGTTGAGAGGATTGGAAAGAGCAAATTTTTTGTGAGGCTATCGTGATGATTTGCCCTCAATTTTCAGGCTTGCATCATCTCAAAGTCAACCCCCTGGGGTCCCCCAACAAAAGCACACTGAATAATTACAAGTCTTCTCCAATTTCCTGATTCAACCTCCAAAGACCATGAATTCCTTCCAACAAAAGTGCTGAGGTGAAAGAAGAGGGAACTTCAACAAAAATGTCTATTTGTATTATCTCTAAATTTCCTCAGGGTTTGTAGGTTTGGGGGAAGTTTTTCTTTTTGGGTGAAGTGGAAGGAGGGAAGAAGAGAGGCCAAAAAGCATTTCTTAGATTTCCAGAAATAGTGATCGAGAATCCCCACCCTAGAGGCTTCCTGTCTTTCTAGAAAAACAACACTCCTGGTGTTTCCCAGGAGAACCCAAAGACAGATGTCAATTATTCCATCCTCCATTTTGCTGGTGGAGTCACTGGAGCTTAAAAAAGAGGAAGCAAATTCATGCGCATATCCTGGTAACCTCTAGCCACAGGTCAAATTTCACTGAGGTCTATTAAAAATGACCAAAGACCTGCCCTTTGAGAAAAACTCTGGGCAACCATTTTGTCTCAAGGAAGCTGCCCCGATCCAATGTAAAGCGGTTCTGGAGACGTCTTGGTTGTACATGGCATTTCCTTGAAACAAGCAAACCTTTCTGGAAAAGATCATAGGGCAGAAGAAAGAAAAGTGCTCTGTGGTGAGGTAGAAACAGACATTCCCTTTCAGTCCTGGCTGATATTCGTCCTCAGGTTGCCCAGTAAAAGCCTGGAAATCCCAGAACAGCAACGTGGCAGTTCCACCGGGTCTGCCATATTTACCTGGGCATTTTTATGGTCATGTTGACACTTCTCCTTCTGTTTATGTAGATTAACCTTAAATAAAGTTGTTCTCTTTTTGGGTGGCATTTCTTGTTTCATGTCTCTCGATTTTTCTCCCCTTTCTATTTCGTAATCGTTTCCATTCCCTCTGTCGCACTTCAAGAAGAGAAAACCTTTAACTAAGGAATGATGCTGTGATCGCCTTCAAGTCACAAACACAGGTGTTAATCTTCAGTGGGAGGACACCTGGCTCCCTGCTCAGACTGGTCATATCTGAATTGATTTGTCAATCAGCGTCTTTTCTGGTGAGGCTTGTAGTCCAGCATAGCAGTACGAACCCCACAGCAGACAGATAACCCTGAATCCTGTCATTACCACTGAATAGTGATGATCTCAGACCAGTTACAAAGCTCCTCTAAACCTCAGTTTCCTGATCTCTAAAATTGAGATCCACTCCACAGGGATGTTACAAGGATTACATGATTTTATGCGGGTTCCGTAAACCCTAACTCCAACTACAGTATTTTATTGAGGTCTTGTTGAACTAGATGCCTGAGAGAGACAAGATGAAATGGAAGTGCTTAACATTTTATCACAACTTGAACGTGATCCGCGCTTCTCCCAAAGATTATAATGCGTGCGTGACTTCAGTCTTCCCAAGATGATCTACCTTGGAGAGAATAAGTACAAGATGTTGTTCATCCTAAACTGCAATATCCTACTTTCTGGCCCCAAATCCTTGTCTAGCCTCCAATTTTAACTATAGCTTCTCTTCAACCTCGTTAGGGTCACCCCAGGACCTGTGCTTTGGATCCCATACTCTCCCACCTTTTTAGGAAGAAACTGTAGATGTATCAGTTATCCCTTCTTGCATCTCAACTAGGTCCTTCCCATTAATATTTAACCCCCTCTAGGCCCCTCTCTATTAGAAAATGATCTCCCTGGGCCCTATTCCCACTCCTGCTACTCCGTTTCTCTCTTTCCCTTCAGAGTCAACCTTTTAACAAATTGTATATCTATTGCTGCCATTTTTCATACCTGACTCATTCCTTAGCCCATCATAACTGGTTTCTAGCCCAAACATTCCTCCAAGATCCTCGCTAAGATCCCTAATGGTCTCCATGTTGTCAAATCCAAAAGATGTTTTCAGTTCATCTCATTGACCCCTCGTGGGCATTGGACATGGTCCCTCTTGCTTGGACTTTCTTGGCTCTAGGACATGGACATTACCTCTTAGTTTTCCTTCCACCTTTCTGGCTTCTCCTATTTTGTCTCTTGTTTTGGCTCATTCTCCTCCTTTCATTAAATGTCGAATTTCCTCGAGTCTCAGTCCTAGACCCTCTTCTCGCCTTGTGCACTATCTCCAGGAAGTCATTATCAATTATGATTTCAATTATCTTCTACATGTCAGTGGACACCAACTTAAATCTCCAGCACAGACTGCTTCTCTGTGATCCAGACCTAGACGCCCCACTACCTATTACATCTCCATTTGGAAAGCCTTCCTCGTCAACATGTCCAAGACCAAGTTCATGATCTTTCCTAGCAAATCTGCTCCTCGTCCTCTCTTCCCTGTCTCAGTGAATGGCACCATGATCTATCCAGCATGTATCATCCTTGATGCCTTCTTCTCCCTCACTCACCTTACGTAATTTATCACAAAGGTCTACCATCTCTTTCTCTTCCAGAATATCTCTCAAAACAATCCTAATTCCAATTTTTCCAGAGTCAACACCCTAGTCTGTGCTGCCATCATGTTCTCTCTGTTTTAGTGGACTTCTCCTTTCACTCTGCTTTCCCAACCCCATTCCTTTCAACATACTACAGCCAATCCTGTCATGTCCTTCCATAAAACTTGTCAATGGCCTCCTATTGATCACAGAAAAATAACAAAAGTTCTAATACGGTGTGGCAAAGACTGCCTTTCTATAATATCCATTTTCCCTTTCTTCCTTACAAAAATCTTATAGTATTGGGATGGCAATGTATCTCACACACACACAAAAAGACATTTCCTAACCTCCCTTAGAGAGAGGAATAGTCTATAAGATATCAGCAGAAGTTGCTAAATGGAGTGGCTAGGAAAGTCCTTTTAACATTTTCCTTTTAATTCTTCATGCCCACAATGTGGATGTGATGACTGCAACTCCAGCTACTATTCTGAGAACTTGAGGCTGGAAACTAGAACTAAAGATGGTAAGGTAGATAGATGAAAGAAGCCTGCCTCCTGATAGCTTTGTGGTAACACCATATGAGACCTGACTGTCTACTTCTCGGCTTCT